AACAAGTTTTGTAATGGTTAATAGATCTGAAATGTTTTTAAAAGTTTAAATTTGGCATGATTTTTATGGGTGTTATAGTATAAGTGTTAATTCGATTTGGCGATTATTATGTGGAGATCTTAATATATGGAGTTCAGTCATTTCAATTAGCTTATCACTGCTTTCTCACTTTTGCATGTTTGGAACCCACTTCCCGAGTATTAATTTACTCAAACGTCCATAGTCGGTCATACTCTTGGAAGTAACTAGTGATTCAAGATTGTCATGAGTATTATTTGATTGTCCATAATAATTGGACATAGCATAGAGATTACGCTAATACTCATGAGTGCTTAATAGAGATTTAAGTATTGGACCAACCCGCGCTTAAAAAATTACTTCATGGATCCAGTCACGAGTAATTCTAAGACGATAATATCTTCTATTCTTCAAACCTAGATACATGTGGGGTTTTGCTCTATGATTTTGTTAGGCATTGGTCTACTCCAATGCTATCCGTAACTGGTAGTTATAAAGGGTATGTCCATGTGTGACATGATGAAGTAGACAAAAACTATGTAGTCGAAGTTTATTCGTTCCTTCTTCCTTAATAGGAGAAGCAATATCTATGGCCCCCTCGATGATTTGGTGCTGACATCTAAAGTGCTTGGTCAAGCCGTGACTGGAATTAATGTGTTCAATATAATAGTCAGATACAGTCGTCACAAATCTATATCGGGAAACATAATCTTGAATTTTGAGATTGACCATTATCCATGTCTCGAATTCATACAGATATCTAGAATGAATGGATAGTTGATCACTTATCTAAGGGTTGAATCTTGATTCGATCAAGAGTTCGGTAGTTGCATCGGATGACTAACTCGCTGTTGATTATTGGGAAATATTTTTCCATGTATAGTTGATGACGTGTCCAAGTGGGAGACTGTTGGAATAGTTTCCAAGGTCATTAACTATTGGTAATATTTCCAATAATAACAGGGTCCTTTTGGGTTGCCCTTAAGACCCAAATTGAGTAGAATAAATAAAGGAGAAATTGGTTTACTAAATATTATGGTTAATAATTAATTAGAAACTAATTGGAAATATATTTTGGAAATAAGTTTTAGGAATTAATTAGCAGTTTAATTAATGGTTTGAATGTTCATTAATCGAAAGTTGGTTAATCAGTAATGTTCTAGAACCCTTATGGAATTAGGGTTTGATGAAAATCACTCCATCCCACATGGGGAGGGAGTGAAATTTTGTGGTTATGCTCCCATCCCACATGGGAAGGAGTATAAAACCTAGGAAGGGATCCAAGGCTATAAATAGAGCCTTAATGGTTTCATTCTTCCTTGCACATTGGCTTGAAGTTCCGCCAACACTTTTTCTTCCTCCCATGGTGACAATTTCTAACCCTCTTTGGGATTGTTAAATTGACCATTCTCCTAGTTATTTTTATTCCACTCTTTGGTGTCATTGGGTGTGATACCATTAGAGGGATTCTGGTTTGGGTCCTCTCATCTAAGCAACTTCATGGAGGATCAAGATCTCAGGAATGGAGATCAAGGGCTACATAAGAGGTATGTTTTTCTTCTTTGTTTTTATGTTTTCTAGGGTAGATGTAATTAGCATGAAACCATAGATCCATAGGTTACATGTACCCTTAGGTATATCGTAGGTTCGATTTTTCCGTTATATAGTATAGAGTGTATTTGATGTGTAGAAAACCCAACAATCGAAGCCAAAAAAATAAATAACCTTAATATTGCACACAAAATAGTGTATACTGGTAAAGGGATCGTATCCACAAAGATCGGTTCAATTTGTTACTTCGATGAAAATCATGTTGTACAACACTTGTAAAACTAAAATAAAATAAAAATGGGGGATTTGTGTGTTTTGAAATGTTTAAAAGAAAACTAAAATTATACTAAGATTTTAAAAACACAATTAAAAAAAAGCAAGGATTTGATGTTAAATCAATGAGGGCAAAATGGTTGACTTAAGGTTTCATCACTTAAACACTTGGTAAAAACATCATTAGAATCCAAAGTGCAATACTTGTCTTAAATCTCTAATTTGGCTATAGTAATCCAAGAAGCTTGAGTACCTAGTCTTTTCTTAGTTATTAAAATAGCTAGAGAAGCTCATAACATATTTCCTTAGTTAAAGTCACAATTTCCATTAATCATGTAATTAGTGAAAGTTAACTAGCATTAAGAATCAAAAAGTCACCAAATCCAAGAGGATTCAAAAGTTTTCACTGCCATGTTGGAGAAAATGTTGTTGTGATTGTGTGAAGTGATAAGTAACACAAGAATCGCTTGTTGCTTGCTAATTTGAGTATCCATTACTTAATCAAGAAATTAGCCAACTAATCACTACATATACATTTAAACTCATGAATAAAAACATACTAGTAGCAAGAAGTTGTTAAAATAGAAAACACTTTCATAAAGACTCAAGAACAAGTTCTTGGATTTCTTCAACATTCAACCAAAAATTCAAGTAAATTCACCAAAGTCAACCAAAAGAAATTTAACCTAGCATGGCTAAAGTCAAGAAAACAAAAGAATAGTAGATTGTACTAAACATTTAGCAAGATTCAAGAGTAAAAAGAAGATGATCTTCTAATGTTCTTGGTGTTCTTAAGGCTCCAAAAACTCCAGAGAAGGTCCCAAAAATCGAATCTGCAAAAGTGTGGAAAAGAACCACACTAACCTTTTATAAATAGCCTAGATTGTGTTTTTCTAGAAATACCTCCGCAGGGTCTTGCGCAGCTCGTGCATCTGTGCACGGGTGGTGATGATTTAGACTCTTTTGAGTTTTAGTCCCACACAACTTTAGCCCATTGGCCCAGCCTACTCTCTATTGATTTGTAGCCCATAGTTCTTCAAGTTTTCTTCGATTTAAGCCCAATTTGTCTTCCCCAAACCACCCATAACTTGTGTCCTCGCCCGATTAGTAATTTCCGCATGCTCAAATATTCTTCCATCTTCATTTAAGTAAAAGATCATCTTCTTCAAACTTCCATTATCAAAAAGCTCACAATTTGCATCATCTCTACTAGTCTTCTAGCCCAACATTCCTTGTTGTCCACCAAGTCCAATCGCTTCCCACAAGTCCCGAATATCTGAAGGCCCGTATTAGAAGATTATGAGCCTTACGGAGCATGATCTTCCATAGTCTCCAGAGACGACAGTCCTACGTTAACTTTTCTCAACAACCCATTCCAATCCTTCTCGTTATGAAAAAAATGCATCCGAAGATCTTTGTGAAGTTCCAAAACCCAACCTTCCTAGGCCAACACAACCTCCATCTAGAATAACCAGAATCTAGTAGATGTGTTTAGTTCTTTTCATATGGTATTATATTAGTATGATGATTTTGCATTTCTTAATAGAAACTACCAACTCATTTCGGGAATAAGTGTTAAGTATATGGAAGATAAACCATACCTTTGATATAGATTTTGTGTAGTTACTTTTCAAGATTTTATGGGATTTGCTATTACGGAAGATCTTATCTTTTATTTAATTTCCTTTTTAGTCGTAGCATTTCTCTTTCATAAATTGATGACACTCTCCATTGTAATTGACCTAGTAAAATGATATGAAAAACTAAATGTTTACTCTTTTATGAAATCTTTGTTACCTTTATTGATCCTAGATTCCGGTGGTTCCCTTTATCCTTGATTCTAGTGGCCTTGTCTATATGAATCCGAGTAGTGAGGAATTATCCAAAATATTTATCGTTAGTTCTGATTTCTCATAATCTTTACAGGCTCTCATCAAAGTTCATTTATCATTAACTATGGCGACTCTGCCTTTACACATTTTCATCGTGGATCATAATCAATCTAATTACTTATTGTTTATGTTTGAGTTCTTTGTTTTAAGTAGTGGTTGGTTTTATATTTTTGGGTGTGTTATCAGTTTCATATATAATTTCACATCAATTGGTATCAAAGATTAGGTTGATATTTCTTTTCTAGAAAATGGTAACACCTAGAAGCCAATTTCCAAAGGTCAATTCCGAAGGGTTTTTCATCAACATTCGGAGAAATTTCAACAAGAAAAAAGATGTTAAAAATGAATCTGCCTACGATGAAGTGGAAGCCATTAAGGATGATATATAGTTCTAAATGATCCACCAAGAGGCCCCAATTGAAGTTCATTGAGGAACAATCCTTTACCACATAGGGTTGTAACATGGTAATGAAGATTAATAATATAATTTCAACGGCTATGAGTATGGGTCCCACACTCATTCCAACAACAAATATAGCCATCGAGATACAAATAGCTATCAACTCCGCAAAGATGAACACCCAATCGCCATCTATCTTCCCAATGGTTGCAAGTCCTCCTGGGAATACTACCAGATACGCAACCATGTTGAACACTATGCCTATTGCTATAATCACCGAAGCATACTGAAAATCCATCCTGCTATTCAACAAAGTAAATTAAACACAGTCAACCAAAGTCAACTTTGGTCCAATTAACCAAGAAAATATTAAATACAGCTGTGATGTAACATTGCTGAAATCTTCAAGTATTTAGTCAATTTTGGCTTGGTAATTAAGGTGAAAATTGTTGATGAAGTTTGTTTGTGGTTTGAGTGAAACAAGGAAAAGATGATAGTATCTAGAACAAAAAGGTACAGGAATCGTTTTCTAAACTGGAAGGGGCTAGTTGTAACTTGTGGAAAATAAGAAATGAACTAATTGTATTGTTTTCAACTAAAGAAGAGAACATAGATGAGCGTTTTACAGGGTTATTCTGGAAGATCGTTGCTGCAGTTTTAATCTCCATATAAGATGATAAGATATTATCCCAATTTGCATTGTCTATTTGTTGATCTCAACTGTTATTTGTGGGTAATGACATGAATCAAAGTTTCTGTACATGTTTTAAGTGGAGATTCATATATAATTTTAGCTCCAAAAGTCCGATCGACAACAATAAATTGGATACAAAAACTCACAATTCCTATAATGCCAATCAAACTTAATCTAAGATCGAGTATGGAATCGAAGCATGCAATTGTACCTGACCCCAAAAAGCTTTCTTGTAACTCAATCTGATGCTCCGGTGAGACTATGAATTCAAAAAAAATAATGTAGGATTAAAACATTAATCTAGCAAGGGATTTAATTGGAAGAACATGAGCGGAAATGTAAGGGATTTGTTTTTCGGGATTTTTTTAGCAGAGAAGCCCAAACACACACACACACATACACAGAGAGAGAGAGAGAGAGAGAGAGAGAGAGAGAGAGAGGTTTCAGTTGGTGGTGCATGGTGCAAGTGATCAGAGAAAGCAGCTGGTGTTCTCCGTCGAAAAGGGGATGAGGGGAGGTTTTACACAGAAATTAAGGTGGGATAAATGGAATTTACCGGCAGGTTAAGAGCTGGAATTTGGTTTTGTGAATCGGAGGGTGGTATAGCTTGCCGGCAGCGGTGTAAGGGTGTCCGATCGGATTGTGGTGCATGGCAGAAAGGGAGGAAATGGGGTGAGGCGGAGTCAGTGGTGGGATGAAGCTGATGGTCTGTGCTTAGTGTTTTACGGTGGTAGTGGACAGTGATTTATCAGCGGGGACGTGTGGCTTGAGGGTTTATGGTTAGAGGAGGGAAGAGTGAGTCACGGCGGACGGCGGTGGACCGGTAAGAGAAGATGAGAAAGGGGACGAGGGGAGGGGTCGATGGTTGGAGAAGGAGAGGGAGAGATGAAGAAGACATACCTTCCAGACGCCAATACTGTAGAATTAATGGAAGTTTAGTCGGGAATGAGTGAAGATTGAATTCTCTTATTTATTGGGAAATTAGTGTACGGAAATAGAACTAGAATACGATACCGTTTTTAACCGGACATAAGTAAGACTTTTATTATTTTTATTATTTAGTTAATGATATTTCTACCAAAAAAATATAAAAATAAGTAAGAAAGGAAGGAAATTATCTTTTATGCGATTGTAGTATAACATGTGAAAGGAGAATAGTATGGTTTTTGTTGCATTTTCAATTTTTGACGATCCTTCTTTCACAACCATTTGTAGTAGACTTTTTAAAATTCCATACTATCCTGTGGATGTATCTATGGCCCTAAACAAAATGATCGAAGACGAACAATGACTTGTTCATGTTCGTTCGTTTAAGTTTGCCGAAGAAACAAACGAATACGAACGGATAAACAAACGAGTTCACATTCGTTCGTTTAACAAATTACATTGTTGATCATGTTCATTCTTTACATGCTAAATGAACATAAACAAACAAACATAAACAAACAAAGATAAACAAATACTATTGAACATATATGAATATAAACGAATATATAATATAGTAATGTAATAAAAAACCATTGAACATATTTGAACATAAATAAACTTAAACGAACGAATATAAACGAACAACATAAACGAACGTTCACGAACATAAATCAATGAACAATACCATTGTTTATGTTCATTCGTTCAACTAAACGAACGAGAAATAGTTTTCATGTTCGTTCATTTATTAAATAAACGAAGATAAACGAACTTCCCGTCGAATGGTTCATAAACGATTTATGGAACGTTCAGTTCGTTTACAACCCTAGATGTATCCAACCATTTTTCAATCTTGTTTCTTGTCGAAGGTATTATTTTTACAATCATGTAAAAACACCATCCAAATCATCTTCTTCGTCTTCTTTTTTATTTTCCTTTCAATTTCTGTCTTTTAAAACCATTCATCCAAAATGTTCGGATAAAAAAACAGACATCACACAACCAATCACTTGTGATAATTTTGGTGTAGAAAAATAATAAAAAAGCCATGGGCAGTAATTGACAACAATGTCCGAATTTGATGGGTGTCAAAACCAACAAATAAAAAAAAGTAAATTATGCGAATGGTTCTTTGGTGTTATATGTTTTTGTTGTGCGTTTAATTCATATTTGACCTAAGAAGACTATTGTGCCATTATTTTTTTTTAATTAGTTTTATGGTTTATATATTTCTTTTATAATTAAATTATGATTTATATATTGATAAATTAAAAACAATCATTTTCCCTAAAACCTAAGAAATGTTAAAAGTAATCCCCTCAACCCATTCTCTTTCGCCTCTCCGCTTCCACTATCATCCACTATCTACATCACCGGTCAGGTAGTCACCTGCATCGTATGTGTGATGTGTAACGTCCGAAAATTTAAGACCAAAATTTTTGTTTTCGTAATAATAGAGTCATCAATCAAACATGTTCATAAATTCGTAAAGGAAAACAGGATATATCAATCAAACATCTCAAATACATCAGAGTCAAGTAAAGCGGAAATCATGGCGTGTGTGTGTGATATGATCATCCCGAGCTCTTCACCTTCGATCCGGAAGAACCTTAAACATAAACTGAAACCGTAAGCACGAAGCTTAGTGTGTGTGTGATATGATCATCCCGAGCTCTACCAACTCAAGGCTGTGCCTGGTCTATTTACCCCCACGTCTATTTCACCCCCGAGTCTATTGCAACTCATGCTTCGGCCCAAGGCCGCACTGGGTCTATTTCACCTTCGGGACTATTTCACCCCCGAGTCTATTTAAACTCATATGTCAGCACAAGGTTGTACCGAGTCTATTTCACCCCACATACATATAGAAAACAGGCGCACAAGCATATAACACATACAACATGATTCACAAAGACTACAAGCACATAACATATCCTAGTGTCCTACAGTATAGTGAGCAAACTCACCTCAGTCTGCTAACAGTCAAACAAATGATAGGCTGCTGAACCGGAAAATCCTCGCACTAGTCAATCAAATAAAGATCCCACTTAATAATCGGGCCATAAACCTTAACTAGGAATCTAGTTATCTTGTCCAATACCCAGGCGAAAGACCATTTTACCCTTTCCTTACTTTGCCCAAAACAAGGTCCAACCCAATGGCTCCAAAAGCCCAATATGGCCCATATTCCTAAATGATACCCAAAGCCCATTATGGGCCCAAAGCCTAACAATGGCCCAAGGTCATAAATACTAGTGGCCCAACAAGGCCTAAAACCTTAATAGTCCAAATATGGCCCAAAACCCAAAAGTCTGCAAAAGTCAAGGCTGCTGAGTACGCCTGGCTTACTCAAACTTACGCCCTGCGTACGTCATCTTTGCCCAGTACACGTTGCGTACGAGCTGGGTACGCCCAACGTACTCCAAAGCAAGACCAACTTGATATTAAGTGCTTAACTGGTTAAGACACTATGCCAAATTCTTAGATATGGTCCTAAGTGATGTCTTAACACGTTAAGTTGACAACTTTACTCCTTTGCATGCCTTAATGGGACCCAAACTCAATAAAAACTCATAATAAGAACCCTAACTCATGCATGGTCCAATATAGAACCCACACCCTCTGATGAAGGGTCAACAACCCCCAACTATCATAATTGAAGGAGGCCACCTGAACCACTATGCGCTGACTCTTCTTGTGCTCTTCCTTCGTAGCCTCAACCTGAGTCACTCTGATCTGCTCTAAAAGTGGTGTAATCACTGTCATCCTCAAACACATATCCCTGATCGGAGTCGTGACTGCCTTGCGGCTGAGCGTATGAGCCACCACGTTTGACTTGACTTTTGCTGACTTTTGAGGAAGAGGAAGAATTTATTATTTGTAATAATAAATTGATATAAATGATTTATTAATGTATTATGAAAATAATATATTAATTAGAAATCATATTATTTAATTGATATTTAATCAGAAATCAATTTGGAATTAATTTTGGGATTAATTGAATTAATTAAAAGTGTAGGGGTTGTTTAGCAGTTTATTGATAGTTGTGGATTTGGGCTCTTGGACCACCCTAAAGAGGGTTGGACGAAAACTTATAGGGAGGCCCTATAATTTTCGTCCAAGGCCTTATGGATGGGAGTTCTTGGGCTGCTTAGGCCTTAAGCTAAGGAATTAGGATTTCCTCCTTAAAACCCTAACTTTGGTTCTAAGCTACCAACAACTATATAAAGGGCTATACCCCTTTGAGATTTCGACCACTCTAATGATAAGAAGATAATCCTAAAATCCCCTCCTCCTCTGTCCTCTCATCCTCTTGCTAAGTGTTTGTGAGCCATTAGAGGTGTGACACTTGTGACACTTGCTCTCAAGCTTCAAGAACTCTTGGATCCACATTGTTATTACTACATAACAATCAAAGGTAAGTCTACTATCTCTTAATATGAATTTCGAAAATAGTAGGTAGTTCCTACGGTTTTCCTTTTGATGTTCAATACTTGTATGTTCAATTAGAGAAAACATAGATCCTATAATTTAGGGTTGCATGCACACATAGGGATTGTTTGTTATGCTCAAAACCCATCAATAAGGACCCCATTGCTAGCCGTCGTTGGATCGCTAACATGGAGAATGCTTAGCAGACGAGCTTTTTCCTTGAGGGGGAAAAGGTGGGATTTGCATCCTGCCTACTGAGGGATAGAGCACGAGACTGGTGGGAGGAGGTTACATGATATCCGACTCAAGTAACGCTTGAGAATCATGATTACCATATACCTTAATCCGATAATTATCATTCGACGTGTCGACTGTAACGCCCGTGTTTCTGGGCTAGGCATTAATGTTGATGTAATAGTCTAGGTTAACCTTTGTAACTCGTTTTGAAATAATAAGAATGTATTATTTGAGTATTATGTGTTTATTACTTAATTATGTGATTTAAATGAATTAAGGATAAAAATAAGTGATAAAGTAAAATATTAGATAAGCCCGATATCTATGAAGGAAGTTGTAGTGGTCGTGACAAGGTTTCCGAATATATATAGAATGCCGAAATTCGAGTTATAACGAAGAAGTTATGACCTGTCGAAGTTTCACGACAGGACCGGCACGACACTGTAAGACGTAAAATATGAATTTAAGATAGAGCGATATCTAGCCTTAGTGATCTAAACGTAAGTCGTGGAATACATTAAACTGAGAGCGTGCATAAAAAGAACGTCCAAATCTGACTTCGTATGAGGAAGCTATGATTTTTCTAAGTTTCGACTTAGCGGTATACAACCCAAAGCTCGAAATTGAGATCGAGTGATATTTGGCCGAAACAATCTAAACGAGAATCGAAGATCTCGTCGTTAGTAGTCCAACGGTAAAAAGACAGACGAAAACGGACGTCGGATGAAGAAGTTATGATTTTATAACGGAGTTTTCCTGTCCCGGCCTACTAAAAATAATATAATAAAAATAAAGTCAAAATTAGCCGACGGAGTCTAAATGAAAGTTGTAGAGCATAGTCTCACCTACGCCTGGATATAAAGAACGTCGAAAACGGAGCTCATATGCGAAAGTTATGAATTTTTGAAGTTCGAGGCACGCATA